CCCTGGCCATAGAGTGTCCTCCTCAGCATCCCCAACGAAGGAGCTGAGTTGCAAGAGCTGCAGCTAATGGGGGGGCTGTCCTCCCCCCTCCCATCTCACCTGGCTGCTAGGTAGGAAAGCAAGACCCAGAGAGAGTTGTGGGAAACCCCAAAACCAGCTTGCTCTGTGCCGGATCCAAAGCTGCGACTAATAGAGAAGCAAGATCTGTTTGTGTGTTGATGCTGTGAGCCCCTCCGTCCTACACTCAGGTTGTGTATGTGAGTAAATAAAGCTAGATATCATAAAGTCTCTGCTGACTTTCGTTCCAAGGAAACCGAAGATGGGGAAGCCCCTGGGACCCCTGGAATCTCACCCCTCAGAGACTGGGGTAGTTTGCAAATACAAACACACGTACAATAATTTGTGCCTGTGTTCCTAATAGATAGCTAAGTGTGAAGAGCATGTCGTGTGCTTCAGCAACAGCCCTCCTGGAAATAAGGAAATGCAACCCCCATTGCTGGTTGACTCAAAAAAGCAACAAGGGAATCTGCTCTGCTGTCCCATGAGGTCTGTGGGGCCCTTAAGTAAGAGGAGCCACTTTTAATAATTGAATTAAAGAAATTTTAACATAATCAAACATTCAAATTACATTTTACAATTTCAATTAACACCCCCCCCCCCGCCATGCGAATTCCCCCAACTTCCCTTCCTGGTTTATAACACCTCTGTTTCTTTTGCTTATAAATTTGTATTCCTTATATATTAAAATGAAGGTTATAACATTTGTCTCTTCCTTCTCATTTTTACCTCATAATTGCATTTTCTGCTTGTATTTGTCCGTTGTAAGTGTATCACTCAAATCCTGCCAGTGAGTTCATTTCTATGCATTGTTTCTGTATATACATCTTAAAAGGTTCCCAATCTTTTAAAAAGTCATCATTGTCCTTATCTTTAAGTCTCTCAGTTAGCTTCACCATTTCAGTGTATTCCATCAACTTTTCTTGCCAGTGTTCTTTCGCTGGTATTTCGTCGCTTTTCCATCTTTGAGCTAGTAAAATTCTGGCTGCTGTTGTCACATACATGAATTGATTTCTCTTATCTTTTTAGTAAATCATGCCCTAAAATACCTACTAAAAACCCTTCTGGTCTTTTAACAAAGATTATCTTAAACATTTTTTTCATTTCATTATAGATCATCTCCCAATAGGTGGAGCCAGGTGGGCCCAGGTCCAGGTGAGGGGGGGTTGCCATGGTGACAAGGACCACAGACTTGCAGGTGGCCATTTTGGGTTAGTAGTGAGGCGAGTGGAGGAGAGAGCAGTTGGTGGCAGTTGACGGAGGAAAAGGCGAGGCAATCAGTGGATTCTTATTTTCTCAGTTTCTTATTTCGCTTCTTATTTCATTTATTACTTATTTATTTTTTCTTCTTGAAGATGTGCCACAGGCTTTCGTCATCCAGCAATGGTGAGTATTGGAGGAAACAAGAGTAGGGAGAGCATAGCTGTCAACATTTCCCCTTTTTGAAGGGAAATTCCCTTATTCCGAATAGGATTCCTCGCAAGAAAAGGGAAAAGTTGACAGCTATGAGGGAGAGGATCCCAAAGACCTGATCCCCGCTGCCAGGACCCTCAGTTGTGAGGAACTGACAGCCTGACTTTTGCTGGAGCCAGAGCAAGATCTCTTGCTCCAGGTGATGCAGAGCTGCCAGGCAGCTGCCCTAAGAAGACTCCACGCCCTTCAGGTGTCCAAACACCGGACAGCAGAGGCCATTCTGGGGCCGCCGGAGAGGAGGACCCTGCTGGCTTATGTTCAGGTATCCTGTTTGAAAGGGGAATCATCTTAGGGACTTCCTGTGAAATTCTGGGTCAGGAATGCGGTTCCTACAATGGAGGCATGTGCAACACTACTACACTGTGGAACTGTAGTAGGCTCCAATTTGGACTTTATGAACATATGTGGAACAGAAACTAGCAGACATTTGGTCTTTATGAATGAACTGATTTATTGCACTTTATGCGTTGTTTATGTGCAAGATAAACATTTGATATTGTGATAAGAATATATAGAAGAGTATTGTTTATGTGAATCCACAGCCGGTTACGTCTTGTGTTTGTCAAATGTATTTCACGTAACGCAAGGTTTGATGTTGTTTTGCAAATTCCTAGAATGGAATCTTGGAAGTTGGACGTCCCTTCCATAATGCATAGGTAAAGGTAAAGGGACCCCTGACCATTAGGTCCAGTCATGGCCGACTCTGGGCTTGCGGCGCTCATCTTGCTCATCTTGCTTTGTTGGCCGAGGGAGCCGGCGTACAGCTTCCGGGTCATTTTGCCAGCATGATTAAGACGCTTCTGGCGAACCAGAGCAGCGCACAGAAACGGAAGGCGAAGGGGTAGATTTAAGAGACCAAATTCCCAAGGGCATAAAACCTCTTCAGTCAGTTTAAAATCCACTTTCCCAGTTTGATGTCCTAATACATATATCTCATTCAGCCCACATTTTACCAGCTTCCTCACATACCGTATTTTTCGCCCTATAGGACGCACCGGCCCATAGGACGCACCTAGTTTTTTGGGGGGGAAATCAAGGGAAATTTTTTTATTTCCCCCCCAGGTTTGCGCAGCCATCCCCAAGCTAGAAGAGGGAGACGGAGCGCTCCGTCTCCCTCTTCTGCCTCCAGGGACAGCCTCCCTAGCCTCTGGGGCAGCGCACTCCGCTACCCTGCAGAGGCTTTGCGCAGTCATCCCCAAGCTAGAAGAGGGAGAGGGAGCGCTCCGTCTCCCTCTTCTCCCTTCAGGGACAGCTTGCCCCACTGTCTCCCGAGTTTGTGGGGCTGGCGGGGGGAGAAGCAAGCTTGCTTCTCCCCCCACCAGCCTCCAGATCAGGTCGGGGAATAGCGGGGTGGTGGCGCTCCGTTTCCCCGCTATCCCGCGAGCTTGTGGGGCTGGCAGGGGGGAGAAGCAAGCTTGCTTCTCCCCCCCCCCGCCAGCCTCCAGATCAGGTCGGGGAATAGCGGGGTGGCGGCGCTGCGCCTCCCCGCTGTCCCCCGAGCTTTTGGGCTGCAGGCTGCTGCCCGCAAGCCTTGCGAGCCCGCGGGACATCCCGTCGGGCTTGCTAGACTTGCGGATAGCTTCCTGAAGCCTGGAGAACGAGAGCGCACCGACCCCTCTCGCTCTCCAGGCTTCAGCGAAAGCCTGCATTCGCCCCATAGGACGCACACACATTTCCCCTTCATTTTTGGAGGGGAAAAAGTGCATCCTATAGGACGAAAAATACGGTAAATCTCACAGAGGGCTTTGTCAAAAGCCTCACTGAAATCAAGATGCACAATTTCCACAGCAGTCCCCTGATCAACAAAGTTTGTAACTCCATCCAAAAAAAGAAAAGGAGAGATTTCTCTGGCTTGACTTGTTTTTGAGAAAGCCATGCTTTCATCCTGTATGTTGCAAAATCTTCAGATGAAGGGTGAATAAATTTTAAAAATAATAAATGAGGATATTGACATGTGCAAAGGAAGGAGATTTATGTATTTATTTAGTTTGTAAACCACACAACCCAGTGGTGCTGATTTGAATAAATTACTGTTGGGGGGCCAGTTAAGGCCCGCCTTGCACAATCAATCACATGATGCATGCACACCATTAGAATGGCAATGCCTATAATGGCAGCGATTTTTTAAAAAAGTAATATTTTGAGCCCGTAGTTCAGTTTCCCAGCAGCTCCCCTTTCCCCAGAGACACTTCTAGCATTCCATCTCCTCTACCTGTGGCATTGTTCAGCAGTGGGGAAAGTGACCTCTTCACACCGGATGTCCATTTGGTATGGCCCTTTCCAGGTTTTTTCCTGCCCCTTGTGTTTGTCTTTCATTTGTTCTCCTTTGTGTGTTGCCAGTAGACGCCACAATTCTGTGGGTTCTCTAGGTGGCGCAGAAAGCACCTAGAAGCTCCCTAGAGGTTGAAGTGCCAATCAAACTTCTGTTTTGCAATCTATAAATTCCATTTAGCAGTACTGGGGGTGGTTCAGATTCTGGGGCAGTGCTTTTGTCCAGCAGAGGGTGTCACAGGGCCATCCTACTTTCCCTTTAAAGCAAACTTGGGTCTCCAGCTGTTTTTGGATTACAACTCCCATCACCCCTAGCTAGCAGGACCAATGGTATTTGTATTTTTTTGTATTTTGTTTTCTTCGTGAACTTTGTGTGTTGTGTTTTTTAAAAAAAAATTAAAAATTTTTAAGAGGGCAAATTGAAAGAGAAATTGTATGGTAAGTTGTGGAAGAATAAAAGGTTGCGTTTGGGGAAGAAACAAAACAAAACATGGGGGGTGGCCTTGTGGCGACCACACAGGGTCCCCGGACGTTTGACGGTCTATTGATCCCTGTGCCACCACTGTGATCGCTTCCCCGCTGCCACCAACCCATTTCTCTCGGGTACACACTGAGTCCAGATACTTGTTAACATTAAACCAAATAAACAACTTTATTTTATACACATTAACAAGTTTATGGTTTCAGATAATTTTTCTTGTCAGTTTCTTAACCTTAGTTTCTTTACTGGCCTATACCTTCCTAATACCTTCTCACTGATTATCCCAACTGTTTAACTGACTCCTCTTAACAGGTTCTTGCACTCTCTCATATCAGACGAGCCCAACCCACAGACTTATCCTCCCTCCTTCTCTAACTCCAGACTCACTTCTTAACAACTTTAACTCTAACTCCTCCCCTTTGGTTCCTATTGGTTAATCATTTTACACTTAGTTAACACCTTCCTTATGACCTAGTATGATGTCATACACCTAGGAGGGCAAATGCCACAGGGCTCCTTAAATATTTTATGGGGGGGGAGACACCTGGGTGTTTAAGCATTGGTGCCTATTCCTACACCTACAGGTCTCAGGATGGTTACAACATACAAAGACAAAACACCACATGTTAAAAAGGCATTAGATGTCAAATCAGCCAAACGCCAGGTAATAAAGATGCGGATTTCCTGGCTCCTAAAGCTGTATAATGGTTTTCCCGACCTTTGTATGAATTCTTTGATGGGAAGTGAGACTGGAGCTCTTCGTGAAGCTCTTTCCACATTCCACACACTGATAGGGTTTCTCCCCTGTATGAATTCTTTGATGGGAAGTGAGGGAGGAGCTATGAGTGAAGCTCTTTCCACATTCCATGCACTGAAAGGGTTTCTCCCCTGTATGAATTATGTGATGGGAAATGAGACTATGGCTGTGACTAAACCTCTTTCCACATTCCATGCACTGAAAGGGTTTCTCCCCTGTATGAATTATGTGATGGGAAATGAGACTATGGCTGTGACTAAACCTCTTTCCACATTCCATGCACTGAAAGGGTTTCTCCCCTGTATGAATTCTTTGATGAGAAGTTAGAATGTACTTCTTCCTGAAGCTCTTTCCACATTCCACACACTGATAGGGTTTCTCCCCTGTATGAATTCTTTCATGGGAAGTGAGATGGGAGTTCTTCCTGAAGCTCTTTCCACATTCCACACACTGATAGGGTTTCTCCCCTGTATGAATTCGCTTATGGGAAGTGAGATCGGAGCTCTGACTGAAGCTCTTTCCACATTCTAGACACTGATAAGGTTTCTCACCTGTATGAATTCTTTGATGAGAAGTGAGATGGGAGCTCTTCATGAAGCTCTTTCCACATTCCACACACTGATAGGGTTTCTCCCCTGTATGAATTCTTTGATGGCAAGCGAGATCGCAGCTCTTCCTGAAGCTCTTTCCACATTCTAAACACTGATAGGGTTTCTCCCCTGTATGAATTTTTTGATGGGAAGTGAGATGGGAGCTCTGACTGAAGCTCCTTCCACATTCCACACACTGATAGGGTTTCTCCCCGGTATGAATTTTTTGATGGGAAGTGAGAGAGGAGCTATTGGTGAAGCTCTTTCCACATTCCACACACTGATAGGGTTTCTCCCCTGTATGAATTCTTTGATGGGAAGTGAGATCACGGGTGTGATTGAAGCTCTTTCCACATTCCACACACTGATAGGGTTTCTCCCCTGTATGAATTCTTTGATGGGAAGTGAGATCACGGGTGTGATTGAAGCTCTTTCCACATTCCACACACTGATAGGGTTTCTCCCCTGTATGAATTCTTTGATGGTAAGTGAGATCACGGGTGTGATTGAACCTCTTTCCACATTCCACACACTGATAGGGTTTCTCCCCTGTATGAATTCTTTGATGGGAAGTGAGAGAGGAGCTCCGACTGAAGTTTTTCCCACATTCCACACACTGATAGAGTTTATTTCCAATGATATTTTGTTGATGGGACGTGGAATGGGAGCTCTGACTGCAGCTTTCTCCACACTCTAAATTTTTACGTGGCTTCTCCTTTCTGGGGATTTTATCGTGTTCACCTATGTTCTCGATTTCTGATTCATCACAATCTGCAATGGAGACAAAAGGGGTTAGAGCCTCAGGAACAAATGGATAAGAACTGAAGGGAATTGGGTTGTTTGTCATTAACCAACATATTTATTATGAGATTCTGATGTGTTGTTGAATGTTGCTTTGTTTGATATACGGTAGTGGTCAAAATTGTGGAAGCCTTTTGGAGAAAAGTGTATTTCAGAGGTTTGAAAGTCAACTTCTTTTGGAGTAATATTATAAAATTATATATCAATGGAAATATAATTTAATCAAGAATGCAGTTCAACAAAGATTGTTTAATTATCCGTATTCTATCAAACATTGTAGCCAAATAACCAGAAAAAGGAAGCACAACTTGCTTAGGTTGACTTTTGTCAGTGTGTTATGTGATTGCTAACAAGTTGGGTGGTTTTTTTGGGTTCTTTCATTTAGTGAGGTTGCAAAACATAATAAAATTATAGAAATGGCACAAAGAGTTGACTGGTCACCCAGAAAGCGATATAAAATAGTACTATTAAGTGAAAAAGGCTACAGTTATGAAGAAATTAGAAGTGAGATTGGGTGAAACATAACCAAAGCTGGCCTTTCTATATTTTGGAAGAGGTATAAGGAGACTCAGTGACTACAAAATCAGACTGGTAAAGGCAGGAAAAGGTGCACAAAGGCAAGTGACGATCGAAGAATAGAGAGACTGTCCCTACATGACAGAAGAATGTCATCTGGGTGTATACAAGATGACATGGAGCCATTTAATGTGAAGTTGAGTGCAAGGACTGGTCTAAGGCTAGAATTCAAAGGAAAAAGCCATTGTTATCTCTGAAGCAAAGGTTGAAAAGATTAAACCATTGTTAACTGGACAGCACGGGGCTATCTGTTTAGCCCATTTTAGTGTTGGCTAAGTTCTAAAATCTTCCTGGAGCTTTTAACTGTGTATTGACAAATGTACTTTTTTCTGACTGACGGTCGAATAAAAGGTTGATGATGATGATGGTTAACTGGACAGAGGAACAATGGGATAGTGTTATTTCGAATGATGAGACCCAAATCTCCTTGCTTGGTAGTGACGGCATGAAATACACAAGAAGAATCAGAGAAGATTTACTGTATTTTTCGCACCATAGGGTGCACTGGACCATACGGCGCACCCAGTTTTTAGGGGGGGAAATCAAGGAAAAAAATATTTCCCCCCCAGCCCCAAAGAGCAGCATACAGGCTGCACACAACCTCTCCCTGCCAGAGGGGTTGTGCGCAGCTATGGAAGAAGGCAAGGCAGCGAGCGGGATGGATCCCGCTCGCTGTTTTGGCTTCCCCTTTAGCCCTGCGCAGCCTCTCCTTGCCGGGGGAGGCTGCGTGGGGCTAAAGAAGCCATAGCCCCACGCAGCCTCTCCTTGCGGAGGGGTTGCGCGCAGCTATGGAAGAAGGCAAGGCAGCGAGCGGGATCCATCCCGCTCGCTGTTTTGGCTTCCCCTTTAGCCCCGTGCAGCCTCTCCCGTGCAGCCGGAGGGGTTGCACGCGGCTATGGCACAAGCCTGCATTCGCTCTATAGGATGCACACACATTCCCCCTCAATTTTTGGAGAGGAAAAACTGCGTCCAATAGAGCGAAAAATACGGTACATCCGACTTGCATTAAACTGACCGTGAAACACCCACATAGTGTGATGATCTGGGGTTGTATGGCAGCAAAAGGTGTGGGCAGAATTTGCATCATTAATAGGAATGTAAAAGCCGCAAAATACATAAATGAAATACTTTAGCCCAAACTGAAGCATTCCACAGGTGATCTTTTCCCAGATACTGAAGCATTTATTTATATATTTATTTTCTATTTCAACAGGATTCAGCTCCATGTCATGTTGCTGCTGTGTGCAAATGGTGCTTTCAAGATAATCCTATTCCACTGCTGGAATGGCCTGGAAATAGCCCACACTTTAACCCAATCGGAAATCTATGGAGCCGACTAAAGAAACTTCTTAGTCAGAAGTAACCCAGTAATAAATCTCAATTAACAGAGACAATAATTCAGTCTTGGTTTGACATTCTTACAGCTGCAGAACTAAAAACTTGGTTCACTTCATGGGGAAGGCTTTGTAAGGCCGTAATGTTGTAAGGCCGTAAAGGTTACCAAAGGTTTCACGTGTTTTCTTTATGAATGCTGTTCTAATAAATACTCCTTCATTAAAGTCAGTGGCGTAGCGTGGGGGGTGCCAGCCGCACCGGGCGCAACACCTGGGGGGGCGCGAGTCCAGAGGGAAGGGACAAGCGAGGCTTCGTTGGGGTGGGGGGTCGTCGTCTCCGCCACTGCTTCTGTTTTCCGGTGCGCTGAGGCGAGCTGGGCGTGGCCAGGCATGCAAGCGCAGCGCCTGGCCAAGCGCTGCAGCCTCGGGAGCCGGCGCCTTAGCGCCTCGCCGTCGGCCGCGCAGCCGTTGCCCAAGCTCGACAACTCGTGGAGGGCGCCTCTCTCTCTCTCTCTCTCTCTCTCTGCCTGGAGGGGAGGGGCTTTCCCTGCTCTTTGTTCCGTTTGAGCAAACACAGCAACGAAACAGAGCAGGGTGGCCAGTAAGACCCTGAGGCAGATTGCAGGAAAGCAGCCACTTTCTCTTTTCAGGTTTCCCTTCTCCGGTACCTACCCACCCACGTTTATTGCGAGGGAAATCTAGCTGACTGCAGGGAAGGGGTTGGGTGCATGTAATGTGTGACAAAGGCATCAGGTGTACGTCTTGGGTGGAAAGGGTATAAGGGTGGGGAGGTAGAGTGCATTTAAAAAAACCAAAACATTGTGGATTTAAACAAGGAAAATGTAGCATAATCTACTGTTTGTAAGGGCCCTTTGGGATTGGTTTTACCCATCTCAGACAGTTAGCTCATAGTGTAAATAAAGATGGCTGTTGTTTACATTTTTTTAATAAAAGCATCAACAACGATCCTTTTGCACGGTCTGTTGTGCTGTGTTGCAGAACTTTTTGCAGTTGCAGGATTAGGGATGGTGTTCTGTGCTACAGTGGCATAGCGTGGGGGGTGCAGGCTGGGCCGGCCACACCGGGCGCAACATCTGGGGGGCCGCGCTCCACGGGTTATGGGGCGCAAAATCCACGGGTTAGGGGGCGCAAATTACTTGCCTTGCCCCGGATGCTGACAACCCACGCTACGCCACTGATTAAAGTCATTGCATTACATTCTTCATTACATTATCTTCCCATTGCTGTATAATTTTATGGTATTACTCCACACAAAAGTGGTGTTATGAGCCATCAAACCTCAGAAATACACTTTTCACAAAAGGTTTCCACAATTTTGGCCACTAGTATAAGTTGTTCATTTTAAAGTTAATGTTCTTTTTATATGGAATCATATTATTATTATTATTATTATTTATGTTTCATGATTATATATGTGTTGAAAGCTACCCAGAATGGCTGGGGCAACCCAGCCAGATGGGCAGGGTAGAAATAAAAATTATTATTATTATTACTACAGTGGTACCTCGATTTAAGAACAGTTCTGTTCCGGAAAAGATTAAGTTTGTAAACCAAGGTACCACTGTATCATAATCACCATAATAATCATCACTGCTACTACTACCTGAGATTCCATAAGCCTAGCTCTTCTCTGGGATGGATTTTGTTTGGCCTAGTCATGGCATCCCCTCCATCTCCAATGTCAGTCCTTGTTATGGCTTGGTCTCTCCCACAAACATGAGATGACTCTGGCTGTTAATACCATATTTTTTACTCTATAACACGCACCCGAACATAACACGCACATAGTTTTTAGAGGAGGAAAATCCGTAGGCATGCCACCCGTAGGCATTCCCTCCATAACACGCACAGACATTTCCCCTTACTTTCTAGGAGGGAAAAAGTGAGTGTTATAGTGCAAAAAATACGGTAATTTCAGATTTATTGCTAAAACAACAAACTTGGATGGAGCTCCTCTACTCATCGTCCTCCCCACAAGATGGAGTTGCCCAGACTGAGCTCCTCCCCCTTCCCCAGCACGGAAGCCCCCACCTTCTCTTCCAGTATCTTTTGTGCTGGACCACTTTTCAGATCCTACGAAATTGGGCAGAGAATGCTTCCTGCATTCCAGCGTCTGACTCACTTCTGTAGCTCTCACGCAGCTGTCTGTCACTCTGTCTCTCTTTTTCTTCTCCCCTTTGTTCAGAGCTCAGATGACAGTTGCTCTCCCCCTCCTCTCTGCCTTCCGCTGCTAACTCTCCTCTCCCTAGGCCTGCTTCTTCTCTGGCTGGCAGCACCTGAGCTTTGCTGCCAGTCGTCTCTTTGGTCAACCCAAGACTGACAGGAGCAAAAACAAAATCCTGAAGCTACTTAGCTTTCCTAACAATTCTGAAGCTGACAGTGAAGATGGCCTGGGAAGTTCAGACCAGCCCAATCTCTTGGGATGTGTCCAAGGGAAACGGGGGCATTTGGCAGGCTCCCAACTGGCTCCAGCCCACCGGCCGGTAACCGGGCAAACTCCGGTCCGCGGAACCGCATCAAACAGCGACCCGCAGCTTCAGAACTCTTCAGAAGCTGGAGCACCCTCTAATCAGCAGAGTAATTAACTCTTTGCGACAGAAGGGTGGCAGGGGAGGAAACCCAGAATTAAACACAAATTACTTACGGATTCCAAAGAAAGAGGGGGATTCTCTCTGTCAGACTTAAAAATCTATTTTGAAGCTGCCACACTTTGTTGGATTAAAGAATGGATGAAATTAGAAGATACAGATTTAGTAATTTGGAGGGATTTGATAATGTGTTTGGTTGCCATGCATATTTGTGGGATGATAAATTAAAAGCCCATAAAGCATTTAAAAATCATATAATTCGGA